GAGATCAGTACAGGGATAAGTATGGAGGGGAAGGGGGGTCCCGGAGATCAATACAGGGATAAGTATGGAGGGGAAGGGGGGGTCCCGGAGATCAATACAGGGATAAGTATGGAGGGGAAGGGGGGGTCCCGGAGATCAATACAGGGATAAGTATGGAGGGGAAAATCAGACTGCACACTTCCTACTTGAATAAAAACCTGACAGTGAATGGAACTTCCTTTTAATAGGGTGACACCAGTAAACGCCCTGTAGAGAACTTACTGCAGCGTTGTCACTCTGTACAACCACTGTAATATTAGGGTACCAGGGCTGTATGCTCATATACATGGGGGGGTTGGATATCAGTGTGGAGACAACAGGCAACCCCTCCATACTGTGATTTAGCATTGTATAAGATTCCTAATGGGATCTGGCCCATGCGTGGGTAGGGTGGGCTGTGAGCATTTGTTTTACTTTTTTTCTTATGTGTAATGGCGGGTTTATCCATGTGGGGAGATGTTGGTGCGAAGGTGCAAAGCAGGGGCAAGAAAACTCCAGCCATGGTGAAACTACAAGCCCCATGAGGCATTGCAAGACTGTCAGCCACAAGAATGATGGGATTTATAGTCTCATCACAGCTGGAGGGCCGGAGTTTGCCTACCCCCGCTCTACAAGAAGAAGCCGAGCTCGCATTCTGCAACAAAACCTGAAACAAAAACATTTTATACACATGTATCAAAAAAAAAAAAAAAGTCAATGAATCTCTAAGAGTAAAGAGCGCTGAACCATGAACGGGACGTCACATCTGGAGTCTCATACTGTGACACCCTCACCTCCCACATAGGGGGTGGGCACACGGCGGCCTTCCACCCGTGGAGGAACTACAAATCCCATGATGCCACTAAGAGTCATGCATGTGAGAATCTTGCAATGCCTCCTGGGATTTGTAGTTCCACAACACCTGGACGGCCAGTATTTGCCTACCTCCCACCCACACACACTTCCACCACAGTACGAGGTGCTGAGGAGTAGATGTGACCACATCCTGACACGACTATAACACAATGTGATCATATGCAGCTAAAACCCTAAAAACATGCATCACATGAGACCGCATACCTACACATTAAACACAATGACACCAGACACGGTAAGAGGTCACATGTGCTCGGGTGTGGAGGGGTACCCGAAATCTCTCTCCCCCCTCAACACTCCATAACATGCCACTAGGGACATCAAGAAGGTTGCAATTTGCAATCACATGTTTATTACATGCAAACATGAGACCGCATCCAGCACACGGAGGAGGATCGGATGAAGAGGTTCCATGTGATGAGAAGTGCAAGCTCACACAGCCACATAACACGCAGCCATGATCCACACATGTAGAGCAACAAGCTGCGTGATAACACACCACCACACATTACATTAAAAGGTGGACAAGACCGCATCTCCCCACACACACGGTCTGCCATGACACACGGGTCCACCAAACATGATCAGCTCTCATCACTGCATCCTAACATGATGTCACCATAATGTCCCCCCCCACATGCAAAGTGCAATGTCCCGAGATCTGTGATCTTAGGTGGAGGGAGAAACCAACATACAAGAATGGGGATATATATAT